GAACGTGATGAAAACAGGAGGTATCGCGACAACGGGGTCAAGTCCAAAACATAGTAATAAGTTCAGGTTACGAAATTCGAATAGAATTTTTGACGAGCACTTGTCTCGTGGGCCACAGGCAGCATGTCGCCATAGCTTGCTATTACCTATATTCAACAAAATGATAGTGGTACTTTTTTACCTCAGGTTGTGAAACACTAATTTTATTTATTTATATTATCATCTTCATTGTTTTTTTGACTCTATCATCTTCACATACTTGTTTATTTTGAATTTTATGCATTTTATTCACAAGATTTGGCAAATAAATCTAACTAACTGTTACCATAATTCACATATGGGCAAGATGTAGAAAGTTAAACTTTCAACCGACCTATAAGGTAGTCGAGAACGTGAAGATCAACAAGATCGAGTAATTTTCGTCCATGTGCATATTGACGTTTTACTTTCACCTTATCCGTGCAATAGTTCATGTCTGCCTGCCATTCAGCGACCTGATTCTTCTTCGAATAGGTCCTGAAACGATTTCCTTCAAAAAAGAGCCATCGTTGGGAGCTCCGAAAACCCATTGCCGTCGGCTAGGGAACCTTCACATAAAACGGTCATCAAAAATCATAGAATGACAACCGTGTATTCATGACATGTGATACGTTTACAAATGTGGTTCAGTTGTAACATTTACCCTATGGCAGTGACTGCAACCCACTGAACTAACGCACCACCAACAGGAACCGTCCAGAAAAAAAAGTGGGAAAAAAGATCAGCATCGTTTTTTTTTTGAATTTTGTCCCTTTCTACAACTGCTTTTCTCTCGACTTTCTTAAAGGAATGCATCCGCTCATTAACCCATTCGCGACCGCGCGGGATTGCGCAATAGCAGGAGAGTCAGGAGATTTTTCTTCAATAAAATTTGAGTGGATGGAGATTTCCTCTGCCCAGGGCTGGCGTAGATGAATGAGGGTATGAAGATTCTTTTCATGGAAGAAAACTTTCCAAATTCCATTTGAAACACGGCAGCCACAGTAATGCCATTGTCCCGAGTGAGATCTTTGTCAGCCACCGGTGGCTGCCATTGTCACGAATGGGTTAAGCCGTAGAAAACGATGTCGTCAAATGAAGGGCAAGGACACTTTTGGCCCCTTTTATTGTGCCGAGCATTTTCAGCGGTTATCTTAAAACTTGCTGATCATGGCAGAAAAAGCAGTACAAGCCAGAACGCCCCCTCAGGGCGCATGCATAGTCGGTCGTCCGACCGTAACGATACGTGATGTAACGTCGAATACTCAGGCAAGTCTGACGATCGATACGCATCGAATGCTGTGCGACAGTTACGATCGTTGCTGTCGGACGACCGACTATGCATGCGCCCACACAAGCTCTGCTGGCGTGGAGGAACCGTCGGCTCCCGAAAAGATTGTATTACTCTGGGACTCACTACTTTTACTCGGGTAAACCATGTTTGGTGAAACTGGCGAGAGTTAAGTAAAGGACTGTTGATGTGAGTGACCTTTGACAGATAAGTGAAATATTTTGAGCTTCTGCAAACATTCATGACATTCAGTGACATTCACGAAAATTTCA